AAAAAAAAAAAAAAAAAAAAAAAAAAAGCTACCAAGGAAAACAATAGGGAAAATCTCCTGCATTTTGGTTGTAGAAGATAAATACGTTTCCGGTCAGGCGCAGTACCTCACACCTGTAATCCTAGCACTTTGAGAGGCCAAGGCTGGTAGATCACCAGAGGTTGGGAGTTCGAGACAGCCTGGCCAACGTGGCAAAACCCCGTCTCTACTAACAATACAAAAATTAGCTGGGTGTGGTCGTTGGAGTCTACAATCCCAGCTACACATTTCCACAAGAAAATGTGATAGATAACTAGTGAGTTATGTAGAGTCATAACAATATCACTTGCTCTTTTTGCAGGGTAAATTTGTGACAGTGAATATCTCTGTTCTGTATCCTGTTATCTTGACTTCTGAGTTTCATGCTAAATTTTATGAGCTAAAACTTGGTACCTCCTGGAAATGTTTCCATATGACTAATGGTTTACTGCATGATTTTTGATGGAAAAATTTAGAATAAGACATATATTGTCTGAAAGGAATAGACACTTGCTTTTCTCATTGAGATGTAAAATGTAAGCGCCTTATAATTTCATCCCTTTAGATGAACATTTTGTTTGAGTAATGTTGCTGAATTTTTCACACGTGTAGTTTCAAAAACCAAGTTAAATAACTCTGACATGGAAATCAAAACTTCAGCCTAGGACCTCCAAGCTAAGGGTAATATTGAACCTCCAAAAGGTTATTAACAGCCTAATTAATTATTTTCTGAAGAGCCTCCCTTGAAGTTGTCCCAGCCTACTCACCCCAGCCGTGGAAGAATCCTTTATAGTGAGAGAAGCTACAGAACGCTGTAAAGCTGGGGACCCACAGGCAAATGCAATTAAGGTTAAGAAGGAAAATAACTGGTAGGATTTTTGTGAAAATGAAGTTGTTATTGTTTTGAAGCAGTTTCTAGACCGTTTAACATAAAGCAAAGTTAGATTTATGTAAAAAAATTTAAATTCCAGCCGAGAGCAGTGGCTCACACATGTCATCACAGCACTTTGGGAGGCTGAGGCAGGTGGATCACGATGTCAGGAGTTCAAGACCAGCCTGGCCAAGGTAGTGAAATGCCGATTCTACAAAAAAGACAAAAATTAGCCAGGTGTGGTGGCACGCACCTGTAGTCCCAGCTACTCGAAAGGCTGAGGCAAAGAAGAATAGCTTGAACCTGGGAGGTGGAGGTTGCACTGAGCCAAGAATATGCCAGTGCACTCTAGCCTGGGTGACAGAGTGAGACTTTGTCTAAAAATAATAATAATAATTAATTATTTCCAAAGGAGTATTGCAACAGAAGAAAATACCTAATATAAGATCTGTAAAAATTGCAAAGTTCAGGCAGATAAGGGCGTTCTTTTATAGGAAGGAGCAAACAAGATTACAAAGAAGGGAGAAGGTAAATGGCAAATGAGAGGTAAAAAAATCAGATTCCACATTAATGTTTTACCCTGAAGTCAGCATGTCCTTAGGAGGACATAACATGGGGTTGTATTTTGACTCAGATTGAGTGTAGCTGAATGTTCAGGAGCCTGTGGGCAGGAGATAAGTGAAGTTTGATTTAAAAATTTTCTTTTGGCCGGGCGCGGTGGCTGAAGCCTGTAATCCCAGCACTTTGGGAGGCCGAGGCGGGTGGATCACGAGGTCAAGAGATCGAGACCATCCTGGTCAACATGGTGAAACCCCATCTCTACTAAAACTACAAAAAATTAGCTGGGCACGGTGGCGCATGCCTGTAATCCCAGCGACTCAGGAGGCTGGGGCAGGAGAATTGCCTGAACCCGGGAGGTGGAGGTTGTGGTGAGCCGAGATCGCGCCATTGCACTCCAGCCTGGGTAACAAAAGCGAAACTCCGTCTCAAAAAAAAAAAAAAAAAAAAAAAAAAAATTTTCTTTTGACCACTGAAGAAAAATTCAGCTGATGTTTTAAAATGAGAACAAGAAGAAAATGTGCAGAGTCTATGTCTGGCTATGTGATAAATAAGAAAAAAGAGCCCCAACTAAGTCATAATGGAAAGCATGTTTCTTTCTATAAACTGTTTCTGGAGAACACAAAGGGATAGAGAATTCTATTATTCACAGATATTTACCAGAATTATCTATGTGCTTCATCTTTCCCCATTTTTTCTTTGTCCTGTACCTACCTATCTTTTTTCCTTTCCCTCCCCTTCCCTCCCCTCCCCTCCCTCCCTTCTCTTTCTCCCCTTCCTTCCCTCCCTCCCTTTTTCCTCTTCCTCTTCTCTTTTCTTCTTTTCTCTTTTATTTTGACAGAGTTTCACTTTTGTTTCCCAGGCTGGAGTGTAATGGTACGATCTCAGCTCACTGCAACTCTACCTCCCAGGTTCAAGCGATTCTTTTACCTCAGCCCCCTGAGTAGCTGGAATTACAGGCATGCGCCACTACACCTGTCTAATTTTTTGTCTTTTTAGTAGAGACAGGGTTTCTCTGTGTCAGTCAGGCTGGTCTCAAACTCCCAAACTCAGGTGGTCCACCCTCCTCGGCCACCCAGAGTTCTGGGATTACAGGCCTGAGCCTCCATGCCTGGCCACATTTTCTACATTTGACTTTTTCTGCGTTGTATTTTTTATAATAAGCTCGTAAATGTAGCTACGTGTTTTGCTGAGTTGTGTGAGTATCTCTATCAAATTATAAACCTTGAGGGAGGTTATGGGAGTCCACAATCTTTAAACAGTAGCTTAGAAGCATAGATGGGCCTATGGGTTTTGTGACTGGGTTTTCTGCCATTAGGTCGATGTTGTGAGACTGAACCCTGAATCAGGGTCTGTGCTGACTCTTCATAGTATCAGAATTCAAATTCAAATGTTAGTCAGTGAGTTGGTGTTGGAGAAAGCCTTGGTGTTCAGCAAACTCTCCAGATTTGGTACAAGAGAAAAGATATCACAGAGGCCTGGCCTGGAATCAAACTCTGGTTGTCTGGGAATGGAAGGCTCTGCTCTCCTGTACACACGCTGTCACACTGCCCATTGTCCTGTGATTCCAGGTCTCCTCCCAGGGAGAGAGAGGATAAAAACTTAGAGAAAAGGAACTCTGATAGCAGACCCCCTTTTCCCACAGCTGTCAGCACAGGATTCCCACTCACTCACAGGCTTACCCCCTAGATATTAGCGTGTCCACATGTCTCCCAGGACTAGGCACCAGCCTGAGGAATTTTACAACAGCATTTTTGATTCTAGTGTTTGTTGGCAAAACCTACAAAAGTGTCTACAAGTCTTCTGGCATATCCCCAACCCCAGACACTGAATCTGCCACAGCAGCCTGTTTTCCTCACCGATGGTTCTGGACCACCTGTTCTTAATCTCATCTGCCTGCATAAACACAAACATGCATCAGAGTATGCCTCCACCTGAGCCGCTGTCTGTAGCACAGACCAGTTCTTCCGCCTACATTGCACTGTTTCCCACTCATAGATTTTTGTTTGTTTACATCTTATTTTTGTCTCAAGGGTACACATGTAGGTTTTTTATACAGCTAAAATTGTGTCATGGGGGTTTGGTGTGCAGATTATTTTGTCACTGAGGTACTAAGCATAGCATGAAACAGGTCCTTTTTCTGATCCTCTTTGTCGTCCCATTGTCCAGCCTCAACTAGGCCTCAGTGTCTGTTGGTCTTATCATTGTTCCTGTGTTCTTTTTCAGCTCACACTTAGAAATAACATGTATTTGGTTTTCTGCTGCTGCATTAGTTTTCTAAGAATGGTTTACAGCTTCATACATGTTGCTTCAAAGAACATGGGTGTGTGTGTGTGGGTGTGTGTTTTAATGACCACACAGTATTCTGTATTATTTATGTACCATATTTTATTTTATTTATTTTTTTAAATGCCAACGTTATACATTTTATTTTTAATCAAGTAATTTTTTTAAGCCACAACTTATTTTATTTTTATTAAAACTTTTATTTTATTTTTGAGGACAAGGTCTCACTTTGTTGCCCAGATTGGAATGTAGTGGCATGATCTCAGCTCATTGCAGCCTCAACGTCGCAGGCTCAAACAATCCTCTTCTACTTTAGCCCCCCAAGTACACACACCAGCAGGCATGGTTATTATTATTATTATTATTATTATTTTATTGTATTTTTTGTAGAAAGGGGGTTTTGCTATGTTGCCCTGGCTGGTCTCAAACTTTTGAGCTCAGGCAGTTTACCTGCCTCGGCCTCCCAAAGTGCCGAGATTACAAATGTGAGCCACCATGCCCAACCATACCATATTTTCTTTATGCAGTATACAATTGATAAGCATTTTGGTTGATTCCATGTCTTTGTTATTGTGAATAGTGCTGCAATGAAGATTCGTATGTCTTTAGAATAATTTGTATTTTACTGGGTATATGCGCAGTTATAAGGTTGCTGCGTCAAAACGTAATTCCATTTTTAGTTCTGTGAGGAATTTTCA